TGGCTGACGATAGCGACATTTAGGGCCAGTAGCTCTGATTCTACACTAGTTTACATTCAGCCTGATCTGAATTCTATATTCTTCTGGTCCTCCAATTCCTGTCTTTTTTCGTCGTTTCAAAAACCAAGCTCTCTTCGGATTTCCTCCGGAAAGGCTCATTCCTAATAGACTTTCGATAACTACTCTTTTCAAAGTGGGAGACCCAGGTCCCATGTATATCTGTGCGTTCAACTTTTCCCAACATGCACGGTACAGGATATCTAAATCGCACAAGCTTCGTGCTTTCGTTCGCCAATCTTTCCATTATAAACCGTGTTTTACTGCCATCTTTCAGCAGTTTCTGAGACTCATTCTTGAATCTAGACTTGAATTCACCTCACATTCCCGGGCGCCCGGGACCGCTGTGGAGAATGTGCAGCGCTCGCTTACTAAGTCGTCGTTTCCGGCGTCATCCAATCTGCAATATCGTTTTTGCTGTTTACCGCTTGGTCTGGATCCTTTGAGGCTAAGACGCATTAGGTTGATCCTAGGCTTTTTGCACGGCCGGATATACGGGTGAGCTTACACGGTTGACTGCCGCCCAGAATTTTCTTCCTTTTTTCTCTAAAATATCGGGTACTCTGGATTTTCGCTTTCACTTTTGACATGTCGAACCGTCTTTGGTCAAACGTTTTCGTTTTCCTGTCTTCCAAACTATGGAACAAGCTTTCCTCCCATATCTCTTCTGCACTATCCCATGTGGGATTCCAAAAGAACCTTGATTCCTACCTTTCTAATGGGGGGACTGAGCGTCTTTTCACGCTACAGCTTAAACTAGACACATTGTTTGAAATGGGCTCAAAGCCCTTCTAACTTGCGCTCTTACCACAACCGTCCTATTAATTGCTCACAGCATGTGCACTCACCAGCTAGGCCCCTCTAGCGTTAACCCACACGTGAGACAGCTAATCTGCCAGGCGTACTTGTCTCTCTATCTATCCCCTATCTATCTATCATCTTATATATCTACTATGAAGAAGTTTCACTTCCTGGAACTTCATCTGCACCTACTCTCTGAGGCGTTGGTGTGTTGCAAAGAGTGTCTAGCGCCCGCTATCTTTGACGCCGTCATGTCCGTCTCCACTGGCCTTATGAGATTTTCTTACATCCAACCTTGAGCTTCTTTGCGCAGTCAACCTATGCATTGCTATTTCAGGCCGAGTAATACCTCTGAGTAACACTGTCAACACTATTTATTGTCTGCTGCATTGCTTTCCTAGGTCTAACCAACCTCAACCAAACCCAAGCCTCGCTTTCTCACTTTTATGAATCATTCTCTATACTTTGACCTTTTGTAGTGCATGCACATCAAATAGTGTGTCTGAATATGAGCAGTGGATAAAAAATTTATTTGGTTCCAAAGCCCACCCATTCACACTCATAACACCGTGATGCGCCTCTCCTTGACATGGCGGTTCACACCAACGCTTCGTCGTCGTTTAGTGCACAGGATCTCAAAACTTCCATTCTAATCCCATGGCCCAAAATGTAGCCGCCATTTCATTTGCCTCCGCAACTTACCCTTTCCAGTGGCCGTTTGCTATTTGCTTGTTCGAAATGACTGATTTGTTTTACTGGCCTAGCTTTCCTTTCGACCGGATAAACTATCTAGTTGATCGAGTCATTTGTTATGGCACAAGCCACACTTATGACTGCCTCGTGGCTCGTCACTGTGATTCTAAAAATATGCATGGGGTTAAATAGCGGTACTCTGAGAGGCTCATGGCTAACAAAGACGTGCGATGTGTTATCAGCTTCGTCAAGTCCACTTCGTCAGCCAGACACGACACGTACGTTCTTCACTGTTGTTCCCTGAGGCGATCATATACATATAAAATGATAATGCCTGTGGTTACCTGGATACCTGCAGTCACAGTCAACGCATTTATGCTGCTCTTGTCATGCACAATTCGTTTCTTGCAGCTAATAAAATTGACTTGGTGACTGGACCCACATTCTTGCATTCCTGTTATGTGTATATAGTAGATTACAGTTAAACTACAGTCTTCATCCATTATCTCGTAAGCTGTTACCCAACCGTTTGTTATTCGTCTGCTGTCCCTGTTCGCGCAACGGAGACCATATTGTTGGCTTCTTTAGCTGAACTAAGAGCTACACCGCCGCCCTTCTAACTCAACATGTACTCACCCGTTCCAACTGGTCAGCCGGATAGCATCTATGCTAGCATCACTTCAGATTCAGCTAGGTCAACCGACAAAAATTCACCCTTTTTTAGATTCTTTCTGCTTACTGTCACTCCAGTTTAGCGTGTTTTCTGTTGGAGGCCGTTTTTTGATATGTCTCAGAACTTCCAAGCATCAGAAGTTAGCTGTAGTAGATACATGCTCCATAATGAAACCGTCATTCATTCAGTCTGGCTGGTCCCCGGTCTTCACCCACATGATATTTCAACCGGGCCAAATTTACCCGTAACCAGACTTAGCTTGACTGTACCTGCATCAATCTTTCCGTCCAACCCAGATCCAGCCGCAACGGAAATGTTTATTCCATGCCCGATTGCGGCAAGCCTGGCGGCCGTTACTGGGCTGGACAGGAGCCACAGCGTATCAGTGCATCAATGGCACGACATTGCCTTTCTCATTCTGTTGGCACCCCCAAAGCCATTTTCTACCCTCGAGCTGAACTCCTCGTCCACTCGAGCCTGTAATTGCCAATACGAACACATTTTTCACCCAACCACAACACCCTCTGAAACTAGTTTGTTCTAATCCGCTTAAAATTTCTTTCAAATTCGAACTAACCGGTTTTCCGCCCAAATTTTGATTTTCCACTTCCGTAGGTTTGTTTGGCCTCATGTAGGGCACTATCCCTCCATCCTCCACCCCTCCTCCACTATCCTCCTCCCTTACACTTGACCTCCCCACAACAGTGGCATCAGTGAGTGTACTTGTTTTCATTTTAAACCTTACTTTTGAGACCAAACTTTATATTTGTTTTACTTCGAATTCTGCTATCTCTGCCTCCGTTTTTGCTTTTTGCGACCCTGACCATTCACTCAGCCGGCCGGAGGCATTCGTGACCAGCAGTGCTTTCCGGTTTTAGTTTGCTTCAACCGGCTTCTTTATCGAACTACTCGCACTTAATGTGCATTTTCCTTGTTACTTTTCGGTTCTCACAAATGCGCTGACTTGTCACGTAATAAGCATTTCTTGTAGATTGTAGCTTTTACCTCATCGTGTTGTTGCCATCCGCGTTCAGACCGTAGCGACTCAGTCATTCCTCAATCGACATTTTCACTACAAACTGAAAAATAATCCTACTACTTTTGTTGTCATCCTGTCAGAAACGAAGTCACGACACGCAGGTACTGTCATTGAACTAACTTCCCTCTCGCTCTCTCTCAGATTAAGCCTATGAGCCGGTAGTGGTGAAGAGACCGCTATAACTTGATAAACAATGGTGGGTGTTGCATTGAGCGACAAAGCGGAAGCATGGATACCAGCTGATAGTTGCCCCTTGCGGTTCGTTTGTTAACGTCTGTGAAGGAATATCGAGAAACTGAGGTCTACCAAACCTTGCTTCTTTTGTTTGCTTACGTTCAAAATGACTGTGGCTTTGAATCTGCCGTATGCGGTATCAGTCCGATTTCACTGTGTTCTGGATGCAGTCATCAGTATTAATAATAATAGTAATAATAATGTTTATTCCCAACTTGTGGGTGGCATGTCGTCTTGCATGATCATGCGTTTACAGTCAGAATGGGGCATTACTGAGGGATTTGCGGGTAGTGTTGACTGCGCGAAAAGGGGACAATGTCACAAACAGTGGGGGGTACTTGATTAAACAATAATAATAATAATAACATGTTTCTCCTGCAACTTGTAGTGAACAATAGGCATGAGGTTCGAGTAATTCAGTGACTCAGTTGGCTGCCATGAACTAAAACTGCAAAACCATTGCTGGCCATGAGTGACCTTGGGCGGTTGGGTAAATGGCCGGAGTCATAACAAGCAAAAGTGGAGGTGGAGATGGGATAATCCGAATTGGGAGAACACGGCAAGTTTAGTCTCAAAAATATGGTGCAACCTGAAAACAAGCAGACTCACTGGTTGCTCTGTTGTTGGGAAGTCAGGAGTAGGGGTTAGGTTTGATGGGGACACAGAGGTGGTTGAATTTGAACGAGTAGTCCAATAGGTTGGAATGAATGTCATGGTGGTCGATTGGGGTCGATGAAATGAGTAGGCAAGAGGGCACGGTTTAGGGGAGGAATGGAACAGTTGCGGGTGTGCTATCAAACTGAGTATGACAGTGCCGTGCCATCATTGGCCTGACATGCTTCAGTTTTTGGACAGCCCCGTGACGGACGTCTTATTTGTGATAATTCGTCTTGAGACGCCGGTACTATATGGGTAAACACTAATTGGTTGGGATTATGTTGCGGTTTGTTGTACAAGTTAGTAGTAGCTGAATTTTTGCGTTCTTTGGGGTACGCTTGTTTGCACATATACCTCCACCAACTACCCTCCAAACCTTCAGAATTTATGTTGGGGCCGTTGACCGGGCACTGTATCGGGGGCATAAGGGCTACGCGTTTACTTCGATTTTGTGCTGGCGCAACACAATTATCTGGGTGGTTTGATGTCTCAATAAACGGTAGGTGCTTTGTGACTCAAATCGTGGTTTGCCGGAGGTACCTCAAGCCTTTCACGCAGTCAGTGTGTGGGGAGGAGTTTCGCCAATTGAAGTTGCCCGAAACCGAGTCGATTGCCTTTATTAAACATGTTTTATGCGTTACTCGCTGCTCCAAAAGCGTGTGGTCTAAATCTTCCAAGGAAACACGTTTCACTGCATTGTTTTCAAGGGGACGTCGTTCCTCGCAGTTGGCACAGACGCTGAACATATTATTGGCTATTTTCTTACTTATGTTTGAAGGAACACTGACGTCAGTAGCATCACACAAAGGCACAAACAGTAAAGTCCATATTTCCTGATGGCAGCATTTAGACAAAGAACAACTGAGCATTTTTGTTTTGTTCAGGCCTAACTAATAAAAACGGAGTAAAGAAAGATATAAAAAAAGTATTGGCCCCTGAATTCTTCAATATCTTCATATTAAGTATTGTTAATCACAAAATTGTAAATATGAGTAGAAACGGCGCGGTGAAAGCAAAGTGTGTGACTCGTGTGCTCTGTTTGAAGTCCACGTGTGTCGTTTGTTCATCTCGCCCTTGGGAATGAATTAGTAGTAAATCGGTTTTGAAGGCAACGATGCTGTCCAATCATAAAGTCTTGGACTACATGAGACCCGGAAGTCTAATGAGCTTGCTCGACGGTTGTGGCTAGCGGATCATGCGCACTACGCACGCAGTAGGTCCTGGGCGCTAGAAACAGACAAACGATGGCAATGAACTCAACGTTAATGGCTGATTCGTCGAACAGCCTGTTCAGGGTGTTCCGCGATTTACATATAACTTTTATTCAACAATACTGCGTTTGACAAGAGCAGACAAAGGAGCGAATGAACAGAAGGGTTTTTTCAAAGCAATAACACAAAAACACCGAATGCTGCACGAGCGCACACACGGGCACTAAGACACTGTAAATGGGCGGCACAACGAAAGTAAACCGCGGTAAGAAGTCAAGGGATGCTTTTGATCGAAAGAAATCAGGAGCTATCCGGAAAACCAGTGATGAGGTGAACTTGACACAAATGAAGCATATAAGCAGCCCTTTGCTAGCAGTGTGACGTAGTAGCACGTGCTATGTGACAAACCAAAATGCTCCCTTAAGTTTGGTTACCGTAAAATAAAAACAAGAACTGCCAGATAAGATGCAATAAACAGATAGCACAAAACTGGGGCTGTCGATCGGGTAGGTTTGGTACACTCCGTCTGGCGCGTTCTTAGTGCTTCTGAGTTTGATCTCAGAATGACCAACGATTTTGACGAAGCAGACATAAAAATAGACAGAACTACCACGAAGCTGCAAGTAACTTCGGACAAACAACAAAATGTGAGTTTTGGTAGCAAGAGAATGGGCAAAATTTTGACAGGTATCAAGGGATTTGCAAAATTATCACTGGGGAGACAAACGAAGCTACAGTAAACGGGCGCGAATGGCACAGCTCTTCAGCAGTTTAACGAACAAGAAAGATGAACTCCCAGAGCCACTGATGCTAATGAGAAACGGGCGGCAAGAGATTTCTTCAACCGCTACAATTTCCATTTGCAGTCAGAAGCCAGTCACGGTGCTACAGGGACGGTGACCACACAAGAAATTCTTAAACGCCTGCAGGCTGCGCAGTGGTGGGATGGCTCTTGGACTGGATGTGCACCAGCCCTTTTATACACGGCATTGATTAAACATAGTAGGTTTACTGTGCATTAACGCTGAGGCAAAATGGTCTAAACGTGATCTGGAACAAATGCAAAGAGGAGCATGGAAGGCTCCATACCATGCTTCGTCAACGCGACTGGTGACATGATCCCGCTTCAACGAATGAGAAATCATGATGGCTATTGCTAATGTATAAAGTACACACACAGATAAATAGTTACCAGAAAAAGTACGCAATAACTTTCGTGTTTTGCTTTCTTTAATACAACTCATTATCTCACATAGCCTCTAGCTCCGTCTGTACCTTCCAGGATATTCTGACGCTCAACGAATTCATCTCATGACAAACTAAACAACCCGTAACGGCTGTATGGAAAACTTGGGCGCGCGCCATCGAAACGTCCGCTGTACTGCAACCCGCACCAGCTACATCATGGAACATCCAAACAATATAAACTGCTCCCTGATTACACAAAACGCAATACCAATTTTAGGCAGGGTATACCCCAGTTGCTACCCAATCAACTTTTCGAGCGCCTGAACAAAGGCAGCTCTGTTAAAAATAAATGACAAACAATATCTTAATTTCCCAATCAAATTGACAGCAGAGGAAAAACTGGGAAGTTTATTTTTACTTCCTGTCTATTGAATGACGATACTTGTACCCAATAACACTAGGAATCATGCGCTGACTGTTGGTGATTAACTAAGAGGTTGACTGACTGATACTTTTGACTCTTTAGTCAAGGGGTCCCTACGGTCAGTGTTGATTCAACACGCACGTAACGCGCGCGAACCGCGCAGCATATTTCGGAATTATGGAACATTTATGGGACCATTGTACTCGCTCAAGCAGCGGCTTTTGTTGATCTGATATGTGCAAACAGCATTGGCCGGAGTTGCAATACTCCCGCTCTTGACTGGTAAACATGGATGAACCATTTCATAGAGGAAGGCAAAATGTACATCCTCTTCCGTCGGTTGGGCATGATTCTTTCATTTTTGTTCATTCTGGCAGGTAACTGGAGCGTCTATACTCAAATAGCTTCTCTACTAAGCGTTGCCTGATTAGCGACAACGGTCACTGGACGGTTTTCATAACCGGAGATCTGGTATCATCGTGTACATTTAGTCTCCTCCCTTGCCGAAATATCACTGAGCGTGATACGTAGAAACCACTTCGGGCCACTGGCGTCCGGTTCTTCAGAAGCGCGGGAAAAGCGGAGTACAGCTGACCAGCGTTGGTAGACATTCCCAAAAGGACGATGACTCCTTCTGACAGCCAAAATATCTCCGACAACTTTGACCTGTGTCATTAGGTTGTTATGTAGTAATAATAATGGCATGGGAAAATAGTAACAATAATTAATGATAGCATTCTTAATAATAGTAGCACTTAAATGAGTATCCGTTCACTCCGCCGGGTTGAAATAAGTGCGAAAAAGCAATTTATGCTGCGTAGCCACAGAAGAAACGAAATAGAGCGCACGACTGAGAGCAGACCAACTGGTAGCCTAAGGAGAAGCGCTGTGCCCTCCACAGACCATTCGGGTGCCCAACACATTGAGCAAATATTTTGGGTACTTAATCTACACGAAACGCAAGTAATCAGACAGCGCAAAGGTAGGGTGTAATGCAACGACTAATGTCAGAGGAGTGTAGGCCGACTAACTTGAGCGCCCCGATTTATCTCGTGAAATTCTGCTTTTCATTTACGTGGAGTGGGTATTTCGGCAAGCTGTGCGGCGAAGAAGGAATAACGGTCGCTTGACGATTAAATGTACGCGATCCCCTAAAAATACCACGAAACCGCCTTGTCCGCGAACGTTGAGATGATCATGTGTTTTTTCCTACTGCCCAAATGTCAGGAGCTACCAGGTTTCGGATGACAATCCACAACTATTTCAGATGTTGATTAGAGCCACACTCGTACCCCAGATAAATAAGATATTTTTCAGTGCAAATCTTTTGACAAATATTCGGGTGGAATGTCAGAAATACCTCCTACTGGAATTGTTACTTCATTTGGGTCGACTCTATTTTGAGGCTGGTAGATTATTCAATATATAATTTTGTTAATTGGCGAAGCCAGTCTATGTTAAAAAGCCGAGAAGCGCTGCGCAGCCGTTCAATCTTTGTTTGGAATCATCAGCAGTACGGAGTTCAAGGAACTCAGAAATCCTCCAATCTATTGCTCCATGACAGGATATTGAACACTTAACCGTTCTGCCACGAGCTGCTTATAAAAAGCTCGATAGGTTCTCATTCAGGAGACTGGTTGAAAAATCAAGCAATTTGAAAAGCCGATGAGTTTATTCATCAGCAAAATTAAGGCGGTGACCTAGGAAGTTTTGGCAATGTGCGGCTCAATACCGAAGCCAACAAAATCTGGCGTTAACTTAGGTGGTTTAGTAGATTCAGCGATTGTCGCTAAGGTGGCATGCAATTATTGGTAGTTCCGCGGTTTCAAGCGTCACATTTTGTGAGTCAACGCGTTTAGTTTGAGAAGCATCTAAGAAATCAGTCGCTTTTCGGATTCTAACCAAAGAATTTTTAATCAAATTTAACGCAAAAATATCTAAAGCAACCTTAAGTTGCTTTGTGTGCACTCTAGGATGGAACAGTTCACGAACCTTACCGTGTTCAGTGCATAGCAAAAAGTGTCAGTGTATGATGCGTTGGTCACAGGCACATTGGGTTGTCAATACCTTCGCAAATCCGTTAGCAAAAATGTCACAGCATCTCCGATGATGGTTGTTTGTGTTTATCCGGATAACTTTACCCTTCTGTTTCACTCAATGTCGGACGTTGGTTGACGAAATAGCTGTTTAAAGGGGAGTTGCTGGCGTGGCAGTTTTTCCCTTAATGGGTCAATGAGCCAACTTATCAGTGACAAAATATTTATTGGCCTCAACAGTTTCTGGAAGGATGCCTGCTTCAGTGGGAGAAAACCCTGCTATATATAAGCTGCGAAATGTTCGTCGCCGAATTTATACTGAAAGAACAAGTCATTAACTTCCAATGCGTTCCTTCGACGCCTTTCCAGCCCAAAGACAAAAAATATACAGAAAACATAATTTCTCTAACAAAACGTTTACCGAAATACATACTTAACACGGTGAGCTGCGATGGCCAATAAAATTTGAAGTTCCCGCTCATATATTTGATCTTAATTATGTTTTTATTGTTTCAAAGCAAAGCCGGCTGCTTAAAAAAGTTTTTGGGTTCGCAGCGCTCGTAAGTTTTTCAAGTTCAAACACACGCCTAATACCTGTTTGCAAGTGCACGCACGGATGCACATGAGAAAATTGGAAGATCAGCCCTGCTGACCACTCGTCTTTTCAGCTTTAAGGATGAAACATCGGCGTTCGAAATGGTGGACGTGCTAGTGAATCAACCGAAGACAATGTTTAAAATTATCCCTGATATAATTTACCAAGTGCACCGTTGCCGAAGGCTACCCCACAGTCCAGTGCCAGTCGTGCTGCTCTTGTGCCTCCAATTGTAGACAAAGCTTCCGAGTTTTCACTGGCTTTATGTGCAACTTGAACACAAAATCGAGTGGCATCGTCAGCGTATGTTCATCTGAAGAGCACGTTAATTTTATAGATTTACCCTATTGAAGCTTTCTTTTGCGTGTGTGAACCAAATTAGTCGCTCAGAGGATGAGTCGTGCTTCAGATCGCACGATTTTTCAAAAAACACCCCACACCTCTTGGCCTGCAAAATAATGTTCAGAATAATGTGTTGTTCCTGAAACGGTACAGCACTTGCCAGAAAATCCCGCAGTATCTACGACGGGAAATGAGTGCCAGATTGGCGCTGGTGGTGCCATAAGGTCGGAGGATCAAACTTCACTGCACAAAAACACGTTAGAGCATGTAGGCATAACTGCCCGATGAACGAGATGTAGAGTAAAGGTTTATTTCTGGAAACGCGTGAACATGAAGAGTTAACGTTATATTTTTGAAAGACGATAAATAGGATTCAAACAGTTAGCGGTAACAGTTTTTTGATGCAGTCGAAAAAACTCTTGAACCACAGAGTCAGTTTTCCTTTCTTTTGGGGAAATATATAGCCAAGACATTTAACAAAACAGCATGAAACTGAAGTCAGATTTTATTTTTAAGCAATGAACCAGTCGGTCAAAAACAGCTCGCACGCTTAACACATACATTTACATGCCCGGAGCTTGGTGGAAGGAGGCTCAGAGTAAAGTACGCAAATTGTGCGGCGCACTAGTTGCACAAATCGGTATGTGGGTAATTAGTTGAGTAAAGTGTGTTTTTGAAATAATTTAAACCGAATTATGTCGCCTTGGAGGCTAGATAGCGAATCTTGATCACCAAAAATTATATGCAATAATTTTAAACCAGTGTCTGCTTGAAATTCGCGTTATAAGGATTGTTTCTTTTTGGCATTATAAGAATAATACTAGAATATTAGCCAATGATTTGGTGATAGAGATAACACGAAAGGAGGGCAAGCATCATCAAACAGGAACAATAAATAACCCATCCCATTTGGATCAGGTGACGACAATGGGGTTCGAAAGCAGCATACATACAAGGAAATCTGGAGAAGTTAGTATGAATCTAGGAATGTCGGGAAGGTAAAAGTGCTTGTTTCACTTTAGACGTGAAATTTGAGCTCAAGTTCACAGTTGACAGAACTTCTGACGAATGAGCGAAATCTGCTGTCAAATCCAACCACGTGGTGATATACCGGATGGCTTTTTCAACGGTGGGCCGAAGTTCGGTGAATCAACGGGAGCATGTCCGACTTGCTCACGTTGGAGACGGGCACTGTAACAAAGTTGTAAGTCTATAGATGAGGCGGTTAAACAAAGCTATCGACAGCAGAGTGGAAAATGACCTTTTATAAGTTCATGCAATTAGGAAGATTCCGTGAGCTCGACATATGGCAGAAGCTCACTGGGCAAAAGCCAGTTGGACAGTAAAAGGCACACTGGGAAGACTTCCCATGACCCTCAAACGGAATGCTGCGATGGTTCAAGAAGAGCGATCCTCCAGTGACAGTCCAAGACAAATCAGTAGAATGCCTGACAACTGAGTAGGCAGACGACACCTTTAGATGGGGGGTTCTGCCGTAACAAGGTCAGTAAACCCAAGGCGTGTGCAAGATTCCAAGACAGGATCGATAATTTGGTTTATGTTGTTTTGATTATGGGGACAAAGGCTGGAACCCCTTACCTGGTAGTCAAAATTATAACTGGTTTGGATGGGAGAAAAAATAACAAAAAACCATTAAAGGAAAGCACGATAATAATAACAGTGTTTATTTACATCTAGTGGGTGTCCGGCAGAGGATGCAACGAAGCATATAATGGGTAAAACAGAAATTTAGGTTTTGACAGCTCGGCAGTGCATCCGCAATGTCATCTAAGTTTAGCAGAATGCTGAAGACATCCCGCGGGTTAGCGCAGAGTGAAGCGTCAGGTGCAATCGTACTTGATCTTTTGGCAGATCATGTGCTCATATAAAATTAAGAAATAAGGATAAAACAGTGGGGTGAATGTGAGAAAAATAGTTTGAAGCCTTGAAAACAAATTAGCATTTTGTAAGTGGTTGAAATGTTCAATAGCAAAAAAGATCGATCTTTCTGAAACAAAAACACTGCATGCAAGTATACAGCAGTTGTTTGCGTCAGAAAATTATAGCTTATAGAATTCATCGCAATTTCCTGAGGAACTTTGTAGAAAGCAAACCATCGCACATCATACAATCCAGTCTAAATTGACTGGAGACACTTGTCGAAGCGTAGCGACAGTATTTTCTCCAGCTTAGTTTTCGGTCTGGGCCTCCCAGACTAGCGTTCACGTCGAAACAACCACCAAAGGTTCACAAGGTCTACTAATGCCAAAAGCGATGTCAAGAACAGTTGTACAGAGCTTCGTATATAGCGTAAGCGGTTATAACTTTCTGGAAGTTCTGACGCGTTCTGGATGCCCCATTGGCATATAGCATTTGGCAAATACTGGGTCACGATTGGCTGTTGGGTCCAGAGTTCTGACTAATCAGAACTTGTCTTGGTGCCGGACCGGCAAGTGCCCCGAATTCTTGGCTAATATCGTGCGGGTCAGGCTTATCGGCCGTAGCAGCGCCTAAAGACGTGCGGTAAAGCGGGATCTGTGTGGGATTCTGCCTAACATGAGGGTAAGATTGTTAATAAGAAAACGGGTTTGACTCGCGGTGGTGAACATGCCTGTTGCTTACTGGGTAACCCCGGAATTGTCGTGGACTGTGTTCTAGCAGGCCAATTGGAATAACGAGGATGAGCGCGAAAATGTCAGGGAGAAGATGGTGACGCTGACCGGCAGCCGGTGGATGAAAACGATCTCCCGGAAACTACCGTGCTTCCGAGATTGCCAATTTCTAATTGAAGTGCCCATGTGCATGAATGGTCTGTTTACGTGAGCGATTTTTCAAGGTCAAAATTTTCTGGACATAGAAAACTGTGCATAATGAAAATTGATATCAAACTTGTCAAATATATGATTCCTTTAAAAGTAACGACGTAGCTACGATAAGTTTGGAACCCACTTGTAATACATTCGTTAACGCAAACTAATTTAGGGTGTCTAACATTTATCCGGTACTTTCTGCCCGACCACACGGGTGTGGGAGCCTGTGCCCTCGCACATTGAGAAGGGTCCTTCCGAGTTAGCACCAAGGTAGAAACAATAATTTCTGATAAGTCGTATGATCTCTGCAGAATGCAATGTTTTCGACATAGATTGTACACACGACTTTCCAGTACGGGAGTAGGAGGTACAAATACTGTCATGAAACGTATATGCCGTGGGGCAGTTGGTCAGGCGTTTTGCGAAGCAGCTTGATGTCACCCCAGAAGCATTGGATTCATGCTTATGGACATCTAGGTTCTCCGTTTATAATGGCGAGGACTACCGGATAAATAGTCGGCCCCATGGAAGTGCCAGATAATTTGGAGCTAGAGCTGTTCAACATAAGCTGCCAATTATAAAACCAATCATTGAGCTCTACTATAAACAAAGAAGCCTGCCACTCTTAGTCGAAATGGCTGGACAAGACTAAAATAGTCTGGTTCACGTGCATAGCCAAGGTGCGACTCGTTTCGCACGATGCCTAGTCACCCGGCGAGGTGTAACTTACGTCGATTATGGTGGGCAGTGAAACAAACCCTGTTTATGTGCACTACCAATAAACTCCATCCAGCTCAACGATCGAGCCGGAATGAGATGAGTGAGTTTTATTAGGTATTTTGATTACCACACATGTCATGAAGGAAAGGTTATGCCTCTGTTGCGTAGTTCCCAGCGAACTATTGGCGTCCCAAACTGAAAAGAAGAGATTTATTAGCTTATGAAAATATCACCAGGAAGTAAGTGTGGCTGATAACAAACCGACCGCAATACCTACTGTATAAAGTGGGGGGTGACATTTTCGTAGAACTGTGCTTACACGGCGTCATTTCCAAGCGCTCATTCATATTGGATTGCATCTTCACTTTGAAGTCTACTGCGTATGTTGCCCCGAGAGATACGCGGCTTACTTCAAATGCATAGAGCCTCAGTGCATGACTGAAAGACTAGAATCCAAGTAAGTTTTCGCCACTGCAGTATCAACACTCGAGCTAGACGTTAATGAATTTGTCTCTTATCCATTGTAAAGATTGTTGCTCAATCCATTAAGGCAAGAACGTGGGTTGCGGCTAAAGTAGAATAGCGTCAGCAAGCTTTCTCATTCGCATGCTTCAGTAAAAGCACAATCTACTTTTGCCCTCGACTGGCGCTCTAAAGCATCACAATATGAACTCAGATGTCAGTTTTCTCTTCTCGGAAGTCGAAAATGTGGGCGCACGTGGACATTGTTCTGGCTTTCTGTGTTTCGTTTCAAGATGACACTGCTGCAAGGATACTTAAGGACCGTTTATCAACCGCAGTTATTCGATTTCTGGAAGAGCTGGGGGCTAGAACACAACAATAACGAGTCCATTGCATACTCGCCTTGGGAATAAGCTGGAAGTTCATCATTGCACAGTGGACGAGGTTCCTTATCACACCGCTCGATGTGATACGATAAGCGATCTCTTGGACATCAGCGATCGGTTCGACTGGTCGGCAGGTCACAACGCCCAAAGGCCGCTGGCTATTTGCACACCCGAATTATTTTCGCCGAAACTATAGGTTTTTCGAAGTTGTGACTTTAAAGGAAGGCTAGTCCAATCCACCTGCACCTTCCGGTGACATGTTGTTTGTAGCATTTTGTTTAAGTGAGCGAAAGTTCAAAGTCAAGGACTATCACTGGTTTACGTTTTCCTACCGGTTTACGCGACATAAAACACAAAATTGTACTTTAGCATATTTTAGCGTTCTTCGGTGCCCTTTAAGAATAAAAGACATCCAAAGAATATCTAATGCAATTTCACCCTGGAAGATCGTTTTTTAGCCTCCAGTTGTCCTAGGCTCTTCAGATTTAACAAATGCGATTACAATCGCAAAATACATTTTGTTCGGCCAACCTAGTCACACACATTTTCTCGTGGGGATAAACGTTACATACAACATTGTTAGACAACACCACGAACTGTGCAGTGGCAACGCGAGGGCCATCTTTGTTGATGATCCCATTTCTCGGGCATGCATAACTAGCCTGTGGATTAGATGGCGTCACGAGATGGCTGCAGGTATCGTTCTTATTATGAAAATGACGCTCTGTAGGTGATAACCGCCATAAAGCGACATGAAAGCAGTAAACTTTATCACTCACCTCGACTACATATCGTAATTGCCCGACCCATGTCTATGTGCAACACTGATTATTGGGCCTGTATCATCCGTTATGTTGACAATGAAATTCCCCACGTTTCTTATGTCCCCATTTGTAACCCCCGCCCCACTTTTGTGTTCAGTGTGTATATATGAACTGACGCTTGTTTGTCCTTACCATTTCACCCATTTGGCCTTGAGGTCATCCGGCCATTTGTATCTGACTTCGCACGTGTGACTGTCGCACGTTAGAGCCTGTTTGCTCCCTTGCTTTGCACTTTTGAAGTCCAAGCGGACTGTTTGTTTTGGACGCGTATCTACTGTCGAGGTTTGTACAAATTGTGAATTTCTCTTACCCTAATAGTACCGTATAGAAACCCAGCTCCGACTTTGTTTTGCCTACCCGGAGGTTCTGGTATTACGCGTCACTCGAAGATACCGTTCGAACGTTACAGTACTTGACATCTTACGTCGTCTTGTTTGAAGAAAAGATGCCAACCTTTGGAACAATTATGAAGGAAACCGGATCCAAGGACACGGAAACGATTGAAGCTGCGGAGGAAACAGTTGCAATGCAGTTTGCTTCGCTCCCTGGTTCTTGTAAGTCACATTGTGCTTCTGGTCGTAAAGGTAGTGTAGCTATGAAAGCTTTAAGGACTGCTCAGCTCCAGGAGTACCGGGTTAAGCGGGAGGTCGAACTCCAGCGGGCTCTCTTAGAGGCGCATAGCAAAACTGAGTTAGCCAAAATTGAGCTAGAGGCCGAAGAGGACTCACCAGATGAAGTCTGGGAACCAGTGGCCCTAAATGAACGATTAGCGGGGTACGTGAAGCAATGTCAGACAGGTGAAAGACCATTAAGATATGCTGATGATATCAGAGGGCCAGAACCAGCCATCTCCGTCACTCCAGCATCAGCCACTATGGACCTACCAAAGGTGGAACTATCATACTTTGATGGTAATCCGTGTCATTACTGGAGGTTCACCCGCCAATTTGAGTTATATATTGAGAGCAAGGTGCAGGACGCCGGTCAGAGGCTCCTTTATCTGATCCACTACTGTCAAGGCGACGCGAAAGCGGCCATTGAAGAATGTGTGATGCTTCCGCCGGAAGTAGCATACTCCAGGGCACGGGAGATTTTACGCAATCTCTTTGGCCAGCCTCATATTATCGCTCGCTGTCTACTAGAAAGCCTGTTTCGTTTTGCACGACAGACCACTGGAGCAGCCAAGTCCTTGTCGGACTTGTGTATAAAAATGCGCAGTTGCGAAATTGCGCTGACGCAAATGTGTTACGTCTCAGACTTGCACTCACTAGCGGTTGTAGAGAGAATTGTGCGTTCTCTTCCTTCGCCATTGCAGCACAAATGGGCTGAGGTGGCAGATAAGATATCTGTGAGTGGCCGGGACCCAACGTTCACAGACTTGACGAAGTTTGTGAACACACGCTCCCGAACTGTGAGGAGTCGGTTCGGGCAACTGGATCGAGAGGGGGACGTAAGGCGCCCCCCTGTAACGCAGACTTCTACCAACCAAACCCCTAGACCGGGTGGTTATACCAGTTTCCTAGCCAACATCAGACAAGACGCAGACGGTCGTCCAAGTGCTTGTGCATTATGTTCACAGCCCCACCCAATTTCCAATTGCCAGTGCTTTTTGTCTGTGAAAGTTCCTGATAGATGGAAATGCATACGGGAGCATAATGAACGCTTTGCCCGTTTAGGAGACTCCCACACGGCCAAGGATGGCAAGCTAGTAGTTCGATGTTGCCAACCGGGTTGTAGGGGACGACATCATAGTTTGTTACATACATCACAACCCAGAAACAAAGCTTCGACGTCCTCAGAGCCGGAGGTTTTGTGTGCCTTAACTCAAGGTAGTCGACTTCCGGCACGCGAGTTAGTTATTCCGGTCAAGCTTAACAGTCCCGCAGAAAAGGTGAAAATGTATGCATTTTTAGATGCTAGGTCCGACATAACGCAAAGCGGGACAGGAGTTATTCCGGTCAAGCTTAACAGTCCCGCAGAAAAGGTGAAAATGTATGCATTTTTAGATGCTAGGTCCGACATAACGCTAGTAAAGCGGGACCCCTTGGTGAAAATCGGGTCAGGCTGCTACCCGTGCCTATGGTCATTGATGCACTGGGTGGTTCCATGGAATGCACATCGGAAGCTAATGGCATCAGGCTTTTATCAATGGATGAAAGCCCGTCGATAGATACTGACAAGATATTCTTAACATCTTACCTATGCAAGCTGTCCCATCTATCAAAGAAGCGGCTCGCAAGTGGCCTCACCTTAGGGAGTTGCCTTCGACGAACTGACTGAAAACGATGTGGGAATCCTCATTGGTTGTGACGTATCCGAAGCGCACTGGGTCTTCGACTAGCGCCTGGGGGGTAAAAAACAGCCGTTGGCTGTGAAAACTTTACTAGGTTGGATACTTCTTGGTCCG